GTATATTATATTTTGCAACATCATTTCACATTCCAGACGTTTTAATTGAGGATTAGTCAAGAGGGACAGAGATAGTGCGAGAGCAAGAGTGAGACAGAGCTTAGAAGAGCGCGCCAAAGAAGTAAACATTTCTTTTCATTTGAGTTGAAGCTTCTCACCCACTTGTCACTTGCGTCCATGCATTTTTAATAGACGCTCTGACATGAAAAAAAATAATAAAAACTGAGAAAAAAAAACACAGAAACTGCAAAAAAGAGTAGAAAAAAAAAACATATTTGCCAACGCGGCGTATACGTAATTTTCGCATATTGCATATACGTTGCAATGGCAAAGTTGGCAGCGTGTGGCATATAATGCAGCAAGACTTCAACGCACACACACACACACACACACACACATTTCATGGCTTATGTAAGCAAAGTGAGTGGCTGGGGCGGGGGCTGGCAGTGGGGGTGGCGGCAGCAAGCAAAAGGCAGCGCTTTAGTGTCAACATTTTGCATGGCGGAAAATGCGAGAAAAGCGAGCGCAAGCGAAACAGTTCAACAGCAAAGAAAGGCAGAAGAGAGAGAGAGAGAGAGAGAGTTTTCACTGAGAAGGCTGAGTGTGCGGTGAGTGGGTAGTTGCACTGTGGGCGTGTCAGACAGCAGCAGCAGTAAGCGGAAGTTGAGTTACAAAATTAAATTGATAATTTTTTTTTTGCAGCAACAACAAAAAGTTGACTCCACAACTATGCGAAAAGTAAGTATGTGTGTGTGTGTGTGTGTGTGTCTGTTCTGTGTATGCTTGTGTGTGTGAACAATGGCGACGCAGTCAGCGTCAACGTAATGCACAACGGAAACGCTTGAAGTACATTCACATGCCACAACAACAACAACAACAGCAACTGCAACAAAAAGTAACTGCTTGGGATGAACAGCAGCCAAGGAACTTGTCTGCTGTCTCCTTATATATACATACATATACCCACACACATATATAATACACATACATATCTGTAGCAAGGACACGTAGACGCCAATGCACTCAAGCAGAGATGCGAGCAGCAGCTAAGTACATTGCCACTGGCAACACGTAAAAAAGAAAAGGAGATGGAGCAGCAACGAGGGAGCTACTGAATTGCTTGCAACGAAATGTTGCATGCTCGACCGCTATCCGCTATCCACTATCCACTATCCACAATTTGTGGCAAGCTGCTTTCAAGTGGCACACGCAACATTTCAAATGTCAATACACAGCTCGAGCAGTGATCAATTTTTTTCTCTCTCTTTTGCTTTTTTGGGCATCGACCATCGACTTGATGAAGTGGCAAACACCATGCGTCTCGGGCGGCCCCCTCGGCCCTCAGCCCCTTCCGCAGAGCAGGCAAAATAGTTTGTTGAAAAACTTTGCAATAATGCTGCAAAAGCAAATACTTGAAGACCACTCAAAGCAGTCCCCACCGCCCCCGCTCCCTCCTCGATCAGCCACCTTTCTTGGCGCCATTGGGGCGGCTGTTAATATGACAAAAAGCAGCAGCAGCAGCAGCAGCAGCAGCAACGGCAAGAAATGCAAAAGTTTTCTTGCAACGTATACCCAGCCCCTGCTCCCGGCTCCTTCAAAGATGCAGACAAACTTTGTGCCGGGTATTGCAACGCTTTATTCCATGTAAAGGACCCCAACGACAACAGCAACAGCAACAACTATAGCAATTACACCAACAAATCCAGACAAATTTAAAGGCAAAAGCCCGTGAGCAGCATCCACAACAAAAGTTTTGCACCAAAGCAACTAAATGAAATTTTCATGCTGCATTCAAAAAGTGAACCAACGAAAGGAGAAAAAGAAGAGCAAGTGGAATAATCGAGAATGAGGAAAAACTTGAGAATGAAAAAGCAAGCGAAATAAATAAACGTATGCGAATTCTTATAGAGAAATCTGCTTTCATCAGAGTTATATAAGAAAGAAAACGAGTTTTTTCTTTTAATTAAAAAGTCAAGAAGCCAGCTCAGAGATCTGATTAATAATAATTTTCTCAGAATACATTTGACATATACAAGATATACTAAGATATAAGTATAGTTTTTTACGAGAACAATATATTAAAAACCATACAGATTAGATATTAAACACAACGTTCCTAATGTGAAAAGAGTATATATATTTTGTCTTGTCTCTGCATGTCTCAAGCTAGAAGACACTAAAGAAAGAATAGATTTCCAAGTACATAGAGCAGGCAAAATTATCGAGGCATTTCCCAGCCTTAAGCAGCATTTACTTAACTTGAAAACTCTTCAAGTTAGCTGGCATTTATATATGTATATATATACATCTACCTATACACAGCTAATTTCATAAAAGTTGAAGACCAAAGAGATAAAAACAATATGAAAATGGAATTCGCAGCAGTCTTCACTTCGCTTGGCCTTCTGAAATATTAAAATCATTTCAAAATTAAGTTCAAATTGCATTGGTGTGGAGGCCATTCGTGGGGCTGTTGGGTGCGATGGGTGTGGTTTCATGGCTGGGCTGGCTGGGCTGGCTTGGCTAGCTTGTCTGCGACCCCTGGGCAGCCACTGGCCGTGGCCATAAGTCGACTGTTAAATGCTACTTACGGCTGCTTCATATTCCATAGGGCAGCGCACCGCCCTCAGCCGCCCTCCTCGGAGTCTGGCATAGGCATAGGCTATTACTTTTTGGCATAAAACTTTGTCCTCAGCCCGGCGTTGACTTCTTTCGTTTCGGCTGCCAACTTTTGCCAGACGCTGTCGTATCCTCGTTTGGTTTGCCTGTTGTTCTCTGCAGCTTCTTTTCTACAGTTTGCGAGTTTATAAAAGCCTCAACTGGGTGGGAGCTGCTACTTTGGGCGTGGCACCTTTGGCGTTTTAATTACGCAAAAACGTAAAAGTTTCTGTAAAAGCGAAATGCAAATTAATCGATATCGTTTAAGTTAATGTGACGCCCACCAGCCCGAAATTCGGTAGCATTTGATGTTTATGAAGAAGAAAGCCGAGCAGGGGAATGGCGAGGAGGAGGAGGAGTAGCAGGAGGGAGTGAGTATTTAAATCTCCACAGAGCATAAAATTGGAATGTGAAGCAACAAGGCCTAGACATAGAAACGGCAATTAAAATCGAATACTCTATTCGTCTTCTACTTCTTCGGCTACTGCCTCGACTTCTTCTTCTTCTTCTTCTTCTTCAGGCTGTTTATATATGCTAATTAATTGGCCTTTAGCCAAGTAGACAACAGCTGAAAGTGAAGGGAGTCCGCATCGAGTATCACCAGCTCTCAATGGACCATAAATGTTAATTTCGAAAAAATGATCAACGTTCATGAAGACAACATCACCTACAACAACGACAACAACAACAACAATCAACTGAGCCACAAAATTTAGCCTAATGAGATTTTTCAACTTATGACAAGTTATGCTAATTCAGCAACTGCTGCCACATAAGGCCGCATTGCGGGGGAGCAGAAGTTGCTATTGTTTAAGGCCTCCCAGCCGTCTCGACTCCCCTCGCCACACTCCAAGCCACTCGACTGGCATGGGAAGCGCTAAGCAGCGAAAGACGTTCGTCTGACCCAGTCCATAATGTAATTATTCAATGAAAACCTCTTAAGATTGAAAGCTGCTTGCGGCCCGAAGTGTCGCTGCGCTTGAGAGATATTTGGGGCTATGATGAGGTTATTAGTTGAGGCACTCATATTACTAATATTAATGCTAATAGTAATAGTAATTGAATGGTTAAAGTAATATTAATACTGATGCTAATACATATAGTCCTTCTATAACTTATGCTAAAAGTAGTTCTAATACCAATGCCAGTCATAATGTTAAAGCAAATCAATACTGATTGCTGAATGCTAATATATAAATAATTATATATATTTCAATTCAATATAATGCCCTTGATCTTCAATCAATTAGTCAACCTGTAGCCGTCATTAGTTCATTAGTTTCCTCACTCTTCAAGTTGTTTCCATATTCATATACTCCCGCCAAGAAACATTAATAACATGTAGTTAACAATTAGTTATATTGCAAACACGATCACATAAAAGCGATTCGCTTTGGGGCAAGACCATAAAAGATGTCACATCGCCTGTATTACTAATATTTTGGTAAACAAACCAGTTGACAAATGTGCGCAATAAAAAACAAACGAAAACTTCAAACTAAACTAAAACGTTTGTCAGTTGCAGCAGCTGGTGCTCAGACACATTTCGGCGCGTTGCGTAGGTCGGGCTTGAAAGAAAGAAACACACGAAACTTGGTTATTTCAAGAAATGTTCAAGAAAAACAAACAATAAAACTTGAAACCTAAAAGAAACCGGCTTAAAATTGTTGAAATTTGTTTATTTGGTTCGCTAGACTTCCTCGCGCATTTGCACTCGCATAGTACAGCCATCACACCCACACACACACTCTCTGGCATGCACGTATTTGTAAAGCGTATTACGTATACGCAGTGTTCGCCGCAATGCTGAAACACATTTAGTTAATCGCACAAATGCTTTTAATAAATATGTTACTCGCTGGGTATATTTGTTGTCATAACAGCCAATAAACCAAGCATACACACATGTACGCTCATGCGTGCGCGTGTGCATGTGTGTGTGTGTGTGTGTGTGTGTGTGGCAGTCACTTCAATCCAAAGGCAATGACACAAATGTTTTATAGCCCTGTCAGGCAGTGGCAAGTCCTTTAGCCACTTGCTCCTGCCTTCCGCACAAAACACAACCATTCACATTCACACACCCATTCACACGAACACACACTCTCACACAGTTGTGTATGTATGTATGTGTGGGCTCGTTCTTGCTTCTTGAGTCCACAAAATGCATTTCTAATTAAGTTAATTGCGGCAAATGCTAAACTTAAGTCACTAACCTAAATTAATAAAAGGCTGCGCAGTCAACATATGAATGTGAATGTGAATATGAATGTGTGTGTGAGTTTGTGTTTGTATGATTTGTGTATGCGTAATACCCAGGAAATAACTTACTGCTATTGCTTATAATGCCTTACATGCATGCCCTTCAGCAAGTGAGCTTTATTAGTTAGCTGGAGCAATATATGTAGTTGCGTTAAGTTGATTAGATCTGAATAAAGTGATTGTACATGCATATGTACATATGCTAAACAAAAATTATTATAAATAATAGATCATTGCTTATAGCTTTTCGAATTTTGTATATTGTCTATATATACACATTATATCTTCAATATTATATAAATTTTATATTTTTAAAACTCTTTCATTTGTATCGATTCATACATAGTTCAGTTATTCTATTTGATCATTTTCGAAAGCCTAAAGCTCGTATTCAGCTCGTATACCTACCTTATGCCGTTATGAGCTTTCAAAGCTCTTTCCAACGTATCGTATTAACTCTACAACTCCCAATAAACCCCTTTAATTAAGTATTGACCTTAGATTTCCTGCTAATGCGCAACAGTGAACTAAGCGACCCTCCAGCAACGCTTATAGAGCAATAAATGTTTGCTTCGTGTTGCGCGTCTTGTTGTAATTTTATTTAATAACTGTTTTGTTGTTGTTTATGAAACATTTGCCGACGGCTGTCGGTTCATTTCACACACCAACAACACCACAATCCACACACACACACACACACACACACACGTTTAAGGCGGAAGTGAGCAGCGCGCGCGTGTGCTGTCGGCTGAGGCAGCGACGTCGACGGCAACAGGGGCAGCGACTGCGGCAGCGGCAGCGGCAGCGAGGCAACCATATAAAAAGGGACAATTGGACAACTGGGCGCCGCCTGCGGTGTCAACGATGCCATTTGGTTTTGGTTCAGTTCGGTTTGGTTTGGTTTATTGTTCCACTTTTCATGTCAAAGTTATTGTAATTGTGTTAAGGCATTTCCCGTGTATATTCTACACACTCACACTCACACACACAGCACACACGCACACTCTGACTGAGCTATAAATAAAAATCGGAGCAGTGCCGCAGGGCGGTGCAGACACTTGTTTGACTTTGGCTCAGTCGCCATGTTTGTTGGCGTCTCTCACGTCACGCTCTTCCCTCTCTCCTACCACCCCTCCCTCCCTCTCTCTCAGTCACTCTTTCTCTATGTCGTCTCTCGTTTTCCTTATGCCAATGTGTCTATGTATTTTTTAACGCACATCATTATCATTCCGTTTGTGTTTTGAACGGGCGCACAGCAGCTGAAGGCAGGCGAAATCCAAATGCTGTTGACTGGGCGCAGCTTTCGCCAACTCACACCCAGCCCGAACACCCACACACACACCCACACACACACACACACAGGCATACATATATGTATATACAAAAAGAATGAGCAAATAAAGGAAAAGCTTATGGTTTTTGCTGTTGCTGCTGCCTTTTTGTTGCGTTCTCCCTCTCACTCCTGTGCTCGTTCTCTCTCTCTGGCTCACTCGTTGATTTTTGTTAGATTTCTTTCTTTTTATGGGAGCTTGGCGTGGTATATAAGCCACTGAGTCTGACTCTATGTGTGTGTGTGTGTGTGTGGGTGTATGTGTTTGTATATATGTACACTCGGAGTACAAATAACAAAAGGATACAACAAACTCAGAACAGAAAGTTTTGACACTTTTATACTTGGCTTGCAGCGACCCGAAACCAACCCAATAAACCGACCCATCCACATTTCGGAGGCGGGGTAGCTGTACGAGTTGGAGGTTCAGTGGGTTGTTTAATGGAGCCTGGCGCGTTTGTGTTTTCAAAACTCGAGCACATGAGCGTGTGTGTGTGTGCTTGCGCGCGTGTAAGTGTTTCTGTGTGCGTGAGTGTGTATATGTGAATAGAAATGGGTCTATTTGGGCTAATATCATTGTAACTTATGATATTCATATGATATTATTGCTTCGAGGCAAACTCAATCGCAGCCTTGTGGCTTGGGTTGCTTTGAAATATTAAAGAGTTGTTTTTTTTTCTTTTATGATTATAATTATATGTGCTCGTGGAAGCTAATATAAAGAAGAATATTAAATGTATTTTAAACCAGAAATTTTATAGTATGAGAGAGAAGTTTGCCAATATATCAGAGACTTTGTCAAATAGTAAATCAATAGATTATAGATTATTATTAAATATTTAATCAAATTCATGATATCGATTATGTCAATTAACAACATTCATTGACTATTTAAGCTTACCCGATAGGGTAAAAACACAGCAGTCAATGGTATAAAAGTCAGTTCCCTACCTCGAGTAGCCTTTCACATAGTTTTCTGATACACAAATACAATACTATATACAATACAATACTATATATATTCAAAAGCTAAAGCATATCTCAACTCTTACATCCAATTCAGATTCATACAAATACGCCTATCTCAAACATGAATACGAACCACTGCTATGGAGGCTTCAACTATGAGAATTTTTTGCGGTAAGTAGCATTTGGACAGCAGCCTGAGCAATAGCTAAAAGGGAGTTCGCCTACAGCAATGAGGAGATAATAAAGATGGGCTATAAGCCACCGTTGCCCATCACCACTGGCACCACTGTGGTGGGCTTAGAGTTTAATGCGGGCGTCATGATTGCCACGGACACCAGGGCAACGCGCAACAGTTTGATTAGTTCGAATGCAACCCAAAAGATTTATCGACTGCACCGTAATGTATAGTGAGTGTTCGATTGATCAGATAGCGGCTGATCGCCTCTGACCTATCCCTTCCTTCTGTGCAGCTGTGGTGGCAGTGGCTATGCCAGCGATCTGTTCAAATTGTCGCGACTGCTAGAAAAACAGTGCGAACTTCATTATTTTGCGATAAATAAACGAATCCTTCCCGTCGTCTGTGCAAAGCAACTGATCAAGACGTTACTGACGAGCCTGATGGGCCGCATGCTGATTAGCTTTGTGGTGGGTGGTGTGGATCCCGAGGGTGTGCACCTCTACAGTGTGCACTTCGATGGAACCACCGAAGTAAGCCGATACACCTCCATTGGCAGCGGGCAGTATTGCGCCATGGGTATCATGGAAAGTCTCTGGAGGCCGGACATGACGGAGGATGAAGCACGCGAACTGATTTTCGATGCCGTTCGCAGCGGGATTGAGAATGACCAGTCATCTGGCTCTAGCATAGATCTAGTTGTCATACGCACTAACTATACCGTTTCTAAATGTACTGAAGAGATATATAAAAGCTTAAAACCAGAACATAAACCGCTTACAGTAAAACCCGAAATCAACATTATAAACAATCTTGATTTGATTATTGAGGAGGAATCGGTAATTCCTCTACCCCATGTAAAACCAAGGCCAATTCATCAGAAGACTGAAAAGAAACCCATCAGGCGAGATGCAGTGCGTCGCACACCAGCATTTACACAGATTACTCTCAAGCCTAGCACAGAAGATATTGATGATGACGATGCACCGCCCAATAAGAAAAGAAAGATTCAACAGTTATTTAGAGAAAAAATTTTGTAAGGCATATGGAACTGTTGTTACTTTTGCCTTTTGCAAAAATTACTTTCCTTAAATGAATTCTGCAACCAAATTTCAAAAAAAAAATTAAAAATCTATTCACTGAAAAAGTGTTGGTAAACAACACAAAGATAACGTTAAAAGCTTTTTAAATTTGTCATAAGAAGGCAGTTGAGATTACCGCAAAACTAGAATTTGGTTGTATATTTTAATGACATTTATGTACTTTATTTTCTTATTCATTTTTTTTAGGGTTAACAAAATGGTTGTACATAAAAGACTTTTAGTTTGTTGATTTTGTGTTGGCTCGCATTGCAGAGTTAACCATTAAATTACATAAGACATATATAATTTGACATTGCCTATTTGCCCCATCGTTCAGCGCATTATTTCCTTATTTGATAATTAAACGTGTTTTATTTCTTTTCGTTTCTATTAAGAAGCTATTTCGAGTGAGTCGAAGTTTGGAAAATTTTCTTACAGTTATCATACTCTGTACAGGTAAAAGATTTTTACACATTTCTGTTGCTTGGGAGTTCGTCTAATATTTCAATTATCATAGCTCTAACGGGTTACACATACGTACATATGTATATATATATATTTATAGATTTATCTAGGTATTTTTTCGTATGCATTAACCGGACTCAGCACAGTTGCTCAATTTAATGTTGTAGCTAATGTGGTTTAAAAAATGTTTTCACTTAGTTGATAGATATTTTGCTTGCTATTTTATTTTCATATAATATATATTTTTTAAAATATATATTTATATTTCTTGAAATTTTATTGTATAAGCAGCCTGTTAGATTTGCTCAACGACGGTTTTTAGACGCTAGAGTTGAAGTTTTGTTTCTTCTTCTTTTGATTTATACAAAGTTTTTCAAACGACTTACAAAAGAAAATGGAATCAAAATGCTCATCCTTTAAACTGTCTACATACGTGGTGTAAAAATACAAATTAATCATATTGATTATTCATTTGTTTGCATACACATTTTCCGTTTCTCTATGTATATAAATATATCAATCATTTTCTATAGTTATTTTTTTATTTATTCTCTTCTTTTTTTTTTTTACTGTTGCGCTACTTAAGATTATTGTACAAGCAAATCAAAACCATTTGAGGTCCAGTGTCAAACGAAACATTTTCAATATTTCCAAACAAAGAGAAAAGAAACAGATTACAACGAACAATTCTTAAAACAAAACATGGAACCAGCCAAATCGGAACCACTCGGAACCACTTGATCATCGAAACGTCCTCCCTCTTCTCTCTGCCAGTTGCACTTGTCTAGCACCTGCTGCTGCCTCGCTCTACTGATACTCGTCGTCGCTGCTAAGCAGCATTGTTTTCTCGTTGTAGTTCTGGCTAATGGTTGCCACACGCTGTCCGCCCGGAATGAATTTACGCTGATTGCCCAGCGTCTTGGATGCTACACAGCTGCTGTTGCCGCCTCCAGTGGCCACCGCATTGTATCCTCCGCTGCTCGCTGTGGTGCCTCCCGTGGTCGCAGCTTGGTTACCACTATTTGGATCATCCGGATCGTAGCTGGAGACGCGAATGCCACGCGAATTCTTGCCACCTGCACGAAGGTTTTATTTACTTAGGTTTCATAGTGTTGGGAGTTAACAAGAGATTCGAAATTCATGCAAAATGCAGGCTTTCATATATAGGATATGTATATATATTTAGATATATGTGAACATTGCAAGCAAAGGAAAGGCGACGCAGTTAAGCTTATCGTACATTTATTTAATACAGTTAATTAAAGATAGTTTATACACTTCATTTAAACATTTACAAAAGGTTTTATAAAAAAATAAAGAAACATAAAAAGCAAGAGCTTTCGATTTGAGTCTATCACAAAAAAGAAAAAATCATAAAGCAAAAGGTTTTTTTTTGTTTTGTTTTTATCTTTTTTTTTTTTGTTTTTTTGTTTTTGGTATCTTTGAGCTAAAAGTGATATTGTAACCGAAAGATTTCTATATATTCGTAAATTTGAACATTTAAATGCATAATAAGCTAAGAACATGAACTGTGAGAATCTCAAATTATTGAATAAGAATACTCCACAAAAATCCCTATTGAGTCTGGAAAGTGTTTGTTAATCTGTTTAGGGTCCATTGTTTATATATTGCCATTTATACAAATAATTACATACGTATATTAATAAAATCTTTGTTTACACATACATGTATAATATTGTACAATATTATCAATTTATATATAGTGTATGTAGAATAAATCGCTAACATTTAAATAAGTTGATAAAAGGCTTAAATCGTAAACGTAAACATAATATATCAAAAAATACACACAAATCAGCAGGAGAGGGAACGTTAAACAAGGTAATGTGAAGTGTTTCAGAGTACATCATTCAGTTCTAAGGCAGCTAGGCAATTTTGTGGTAATCGGTTTTTCGAGTGCGCGCTTTCTGTAAGTAAGTAACTAGGCCTAATACGTATTTAATGCATATTTGTTTTTATAATTATCTTTAAGCGGCAACAAAAGGCAACTGTGGTGTCAATTGTTAGCTTTAAGTACACTTGATTTGTCTTTAAACTGCTTGATTTTTACTATAATCATTATTACTTATATATGCTGTTATTTCCCTCCATTTGTTTTGGAATTATAGTTAGTGTTTAGTAGCGGGCATCGCTATTTTTTTATTTATTTATTTTTTTTTTTGTATTTTGTTTGTATTTGTTTTAAGAGTTTTAGAGCTTTTCGTAACGCTGAGTTGAGGTTACGTCTGCAAAAGATAAGAAACAGAAAGAAAACAAAAGTGTAAAACATAATGATAATGTAATGCGAATGAAAAGCAAAGTAAAATTGATAAGATTCAACATTCAATAGCTACAGCGAGCAGGCAACAAACATTCAACAAGAGACGAAAAATATCGAAAGCAGAAAAGAATAGGAGAAAGAATTTACCTGAACTATACTGTGTGTATTGTTGATACTGTGGATGGAAATTGTGTATAGCATCTGTCATAATATCCTTGGGATTCATGGTTTCCTGGAAAAAATATGAAAATGTTAGGGATTCGCTAAGAAAAACATTGCTTAAGAGATTTACCTTGAGACTGCTGGAAATAGACTGCATAGTGACAGAGCGTCCGTGGCCATCGCCAATGCAGCTGCGCGCGTAGACCTAAAATGGAGAGATAAGAAATTTAAAAATAAATGCTGATATGCTTTAGGCCAGCAGTAGTCGCACGGTCTCTTAAAATCAATTACCCACAATAATACCTTACTTATCGTATATCTTATTATAAATTGAGCCCCTATTAGAATTCCTATACCACAAATAGGGAATATACAACATGAATCATATACCAGGCATGGCTGATAGCTGATAGTCAAATTGTTAAAGCATTTGCCTTTGATTGCGAAAATATTGTAGTCAGTCATTCAAGCGTGGCACAATTTACAGATAAGCCAAAACGAGCTCCAACTTATCTTATCGTACGCTATACCTGTCATATAGTACTAACCTGATAGGGGAAAGCATATCGCAGCGCAATGGCAGCAAACAGCATTTCAATGCATATGAAAAAGTTCTGATAGCCAGCGGAAACGGTACCAGCCGAGGTGACAGTGCCAGCACTGTCCACAATGGGCGATATGACCTGCGCCTTCTCGAGTATGGCCAGACCTACGCCCTGCCAGAATGACAAGAAGATGACTGACTTGATTGTGCAGAATTTCAAGACGGGCTCAAACGGTGTCAGCAGATCACGAGTGGCAAAGTAAAACAGATATAGACCATACAAAGCCAGCGAAACGGAAATGTTATAGATGATGGTTATGTAAATGTAGCCGCCATCAGCGCTGTAAGAGAACAAACAATAGATTAGCAAACTTTTCAGATTGATTACTAAGTACGCTGCCACACAACAAACCTCCAATCGCCATCATGGTAATGTCCAAAAGCCTGCAGAAAGATGATTATAAATGCGACCAGTGGCTTAACCAAGCAGAACTGCAACGTGGCCTGCTTGCAGAAGCGCAAAAAGCCAATGGTGTATGTCTTGCCCTTCAAACAGCATGTGCCGTACAAGCAGGAGGTCTTTATGGGCTTTCCACGTATCTCAGACATAATGTTACCCTCACCGCCTAGATACTCATAGCATAGCGACAGAAAGTTGTAAATCACGAAGGCTGTAAAAGCATATTCAGGCAGAGATTAGAACGGACTACGCGGGGAAATAACAGATTATGAGAGTACCGCACCTTCATAGCAATCCCGCACCGTGAAGAAGTAAATGTAAACGTTGTCAGAGTTGAAGAATAGCAAACTAATCCATGAGTAGGTTGCATAGATGGGCACTATGAACAGTATACGGACTATCCAGCGCTGCTCCTGTGGATTGGTGTACCAACGTAAATGCTGATAGATCTGTAAGCGAAATGTGTGATTAGTTGAGTGTATATCTATTGAATTTCATGATTTGAGTGGCTGCTCACCTGTTGACATGTGACAAACAACGCTGCCCAAACAAACACGCCCGCCAGCACCTGCGCTGTTTTGGTCTGCAGGAATATGCCATCGCCCACATGAAGCAGAGGATCCAACGGCTCCGGTGGCACTCCCATTTTCACAAAGTAGCTCGTATTCGGTTTCAGGGTCGTCGCTGCAGCAGCAGTATCAGCAGTTCCGTTACTTGTCGCAGCAGCAGCAACAGCAGCGACGCTGCTCACAGTTATAGCCGCCTCAATGAGACTGGCCGGCGTTGTGCTCATTCTGTCGCAACAAAATCGAGTTAGCAATTAGATAAAAATGAAAATAAAAAGAGGAAAAGAGAGAGAAAGGCAAACACTATGATTAGGTATACAAACTTGTTTACTTTTTGACAGTGCACACAAAAGTTTTTCAACTACAAATTTTAAATGATGAGAGAGACAGCTTGCAATATGCTCAGTAAATGGGGTCAACGGCAAAATGTGGAGCAGTATGGAGAGAGGCACGCATTAGATCATCATTATCAAAAGAAAC